TTTCGAGTCATCTTTTTTGCATACAAACCTTCAGCCGAATCCCCCAATCTGACGATTTTTTCAACATGCCTGCCAGTTCAAGCGCCAAAGCTTATCAAGGGGACTCCGATGGATCATGGGAATATGCCCCCCGATTATCCAAGGTCTCATCCATTACCGCTGCCTCTTCCAACCTCCTCCGCAAGCGAGGGGGACTCCGATGATCCTACTTTGGAAATAAATGAAATGAAGAAAAAACTGGAACACAACTCTTCCTTGGTCCATTATTGGACTCAAAAGTGTGTCGGATCTAAGCAGAAGTTGGCTTATTTGACTCGGCAAGTTAACAAAGCCCGTTACATAAAAGAGAAGCAGAGAATTCGTGCCCAAAGAAGAAAGCACACAGTAGAGGATTTGCATTTGACAGGGGAGGATGCTACGTAAGAATCTTTGAGCATCCACAAATGAGGCGACAACCAAGGCCAGGCAATGTATGTGGCTTTCAACGAAGGTTTTGAGAAATTCCAACTATTCACTGCAGATGTCCACAAAGATATTGACTGGGAAGCCATAACCCCGTCTGCTGTACAGGAAATCATCTCCAGTGGTGCACACCCAACAGAGCAAGGCCACCAACGAGCAAAAGGCAACGATAATGACTTGTGATAGCCATATCAATCCATAGGCAATCCCTCAGCAGCTGTTTGTTTTTGTCAATGCCCGATCTAAGTTAGTGTTTAAATGTTAATGCCCGATCTTGCTTACGTGCAGCTCATTTCGTTTTACACTGCTATCAAAGCTAGAGTTCAATCACAGTTCGATCACTAACTTCCGGATTAGAAGTGTTCATTTCGTAATAGTGCTCACATTTTTTTGTTTAATTCATTGTCAGTGGGGAGACAATTTGTTTCAAGATTCTCTGACAAAGATATTCATTGGTTGAGACTTTACAGAGACATAGTGATTGTTTCAAGATTCTCTTACTGACACATAGTCATGGTTTCAAGATTCCCCTGGATATTTTCATATTCATTGCAACCATTGCAAATTTGTGTATAAAACCCCTTGCATGATTCAAACAAGGGCTTCAGGTTATGAAAACCCCAAAGCCCCAGAGGACATCTGGGACATCCACCTTCAACCAAAGATGGATCCGAAACTTCGAGTTACGCCTAATTATTGAAAGCATGGTGCCGTTTACGACCAAAAAAGATGTAAATAGGTATCAATAAATGTTAAAACTCCAAGACCATAAATGAAATCAAACTCTTCCAGATAGTTATGTGTTTAATAAACCATAGTTCAATATCAATGGACATGAGGCATTTACCTAAGATTCACTAACGCTTCCAGATACTTTCAAAAAAGATGTAAATAAGTATCAATAAGTGTTCAAACTCCGGTGCCATAAATGAAATCAAACTCTTGCATAAATGACTCTGTCATAGTAGGTTCACTATCCTGCGTGCTTTGAGTGGGCTGCAAATTCTTAGCAATTGGATCACCAAATTCTGTGTCGGAAGATGAAGAGTTGCCACATCGGAAAAAAAATAATAATAAACATCAACAACATAAAATTCAAAGCACAATATAACACATATTCACTTACAGGCTCGCAAATTTTGGACAACTCCGTCTATCATGATCAGTCTTCCTACATTAAGTGCATCGACGTTTATGTCGTTGCACTGCCTTCTCTTCTTCTCCCTTAACTCTTTTTGCACGCCCTTTTACTTTCACTCAATGTGGATCTTTGATTCTGAGTTGGGGATAACTAGTTCCGACATCTCCATTGGGTTCTTTGACATAAGCTCTTGATGACACCAACCTTATAAGCTTCCCACGAATGTCGTCAAAAGATTTTTCCAGCAACTCAAAACTTTCATCACACAACAAAGCCGAATCAATCAAATCACTTGCAACTTTGCAAACTTTCGATCTCTTAACCAAAAGCAAACCATCAACGCAATCGTTAATTTCTTTGTGATTCTTATCATATATTACACCGCTTTTCGCACTTTGAAGCCATCGTTTCAATATGTACTTGTCTAGCAAGTGCTCAACCTGCTTCATTCTTAAGAATGCTAGGATGTGTTGGCACAGAATACCCCAAAATTCAAATCCTTTACAGCTGTAATAAACTTTATCGGCGTCTTTATCATGCACAAGCTCCTTCATCCGTGTCACCCCCCAGATTTACCCGCTCACTTACTTTATATCTGCAATGCGTCCCATCTTGCTTTACAAGTTCAAACAAGCATAAAAGACTTCTGAAGTCTTCCCTCTCAAACATTTCCAGAATTTCCATAGTCTAAATGCATCCCATTTGATGTTGCATTGATGTTTGAAATGGCAGTGGAGGTTTTTCATTGTTATCAACATGATCAGCCATTAACTCCTTATGTCTCTGTGAAGCAAGAGCTCTCTCAAAATGTACAATGAATTCCATCAATGTGTTTTTCCGGTTAATATATTGTTTGAAAAATGAATGACAGCTTTTAGCCTGTTGACTACTTGACATCCCCGCCAAAAACACATGTTTTACAATGATGGAACCCAATTCTCCCGTATAGCATGAATTGAGCTCAGCCACGCATGGTCTTTCGTCCCATTGTTTGTGATGATTTCCTCCCATTTCGCATCACATTCTTCTTTCGTGTCCATACCCCACATGCATTTGCACATTTCCCAAAAACATTCTCCAATGCCGGGTTTCTCTGTAATCTTATTCAAGATATGCCATATGCAATATCTATGGAATGTTGTCAGGAGAGTTACAGCAATTGCCTTTCACATGGCTGCATCTTGATCAGTGATGATCATTTTGGGTGGCTCACCCAACATGGCTTTCTTGAATTCCTCTAGCAATCATACAAATGAATATGTGGTTTCACTAGTTAGAAATGCACAACCAAACAACATTATCTGCCGATGGTTATTAACGCCTAACAAAGGCGCAAAGACCATCCCATAGCGGTTCGTGTTGAACGTCGTATCAAATACCACCATATCTCCAAAAAATTCATAGGCTCGTATTGACCTTGCATCTGACCAAAAAACATTACCCATCCTTCCTTCTGAATCTACCTTCATCTTGAAATAAAATGATTCATTCCTTTCTTGCTCAGCCAAAAAATGCTCCTTAAGCAGCTCTGCATCATGGCCAATCACCTCTCCACGCACGTCCCTTAGATAATTATAGACATGTCTCTTAACAAACTCAACATTTTCCAATCCCCCTACTTGCACCTCAAGAATGCTTAACTGTTTATGTACCGGAATATTAACTTTGCTCATATTTGCACTACAGACCTTTGTAGACTCTGTTAGTTACGGTAAGATCTCAATAGATGGACTTTATCAACTGTGGTCATGTCATGGTTGTGTACCTCATTGAATCCTATAACGATGTACTTATTCTTGTCTTTCACCTTCAATATCGCAAGTTTAGCCTTGCAACCAGTTCGAGTACAGCCTAGCCGTCTTCTCTTACGACTAACAGTACTTATCAACGAATACCCCTGTTTACAACATACATATTCCTTCCTTGTTACTTCTCCTATTAGTGTGCACGTTCTTGTTGTAGAACACCGAATGCCGAATCTAGCTTTCGCAACATACGTATTATAGAAATTGAACACATCATCACAACAATCAAATTCAAGTCCCAATTTTAGTTTCAACTCCGACCTTACTTCCTATGTCACCTGTCCTTCACACTCCATTTCACAATTCTTGCAATTTAACCCTGAATTCACCACCATCACAGTATAAATAGCTTCAAAATATATATATTAACTAACATATGATATGAAAATGATTCTCTGGTGAAATATTAAAGACTTACATACAAACTAATGTAACTCATGCTTATACAGTATAAAATATATATATATATATATATTAACTAACATATGATATGAAAATGATTCTCTGGTGATATATTAAAGACCTACATACAAAATAATGTAATTTATGCTTATGCCCAATAATAAACTTGAGAAATACAGTATAAAGAGCTTTAAAATATATACATTAGCTAACATATGATATGAAAATGATTCTCTGGTGAAATATTAAAGACCTACATACAAACTAGTGCAACTCATGCTTATGCCCAATAATAAACTTGACAAATACAGTATATCACTTACCTCGTGAGTCATTTCCAACTTCAAACTTTCTACAAATATGACAATGTCGCCCTTTTAGATCTGGACGTCAACCCCAAACACTTTTCATCTTCCTCAACCATTGTTTCGACCGTGCTCAACGATTTCAAAACCAAGAGAACAGCACAACGGTCGTGGCCACCAGTTTCCAACTCAAGACGTTGCTCAAGGATTGACGAATGTTCCGACCAGAAAGACCGAACCACAAAGATGATAATATAAAATACACGAACACTTTCTTTCACCTGAATGAGAAACCCAGAAAAATGAGGGCTATACTTCTGTGTTCTTCCTGGAATCGAATATTCCAGGGGCGCTCTCTCTTCAGTGTTATTGGTCTTGCTCAATCAGAGTTGATAAAAAAATTGGCCACTTAATTGAACAAACTAAACAGCTGGATTGGAGGGGACGTCTATTTTCGACTCGACGTTTTGGAGGGAGGAGAGAGAAGGCGGCCTCGTTCTAATACAACACTTACACTTACAATTGCTATTGATGCAGCCGTTAGATTAGATCCAACATTGTTCTCATGTAAGGCTCGCACATAAGCGTTCTCACCTGATCCAAACCGGTGTTGTAAAAGGAAATTTCAACAAAAACTGATTTCATTTAAACTGAGCTAAGCCCCTATTTGACTTTAAAATAGAAGGCCCACTAAATTATCAAAAACAAGGCCCACTGAGGGTTGGGAAAAACTGGATCCAAACAATGTGATTCAAAGTGGAGAAGAGAAGATCAAACTTCAAGCTTCAACAAATTTGGTGGTGGAATGGTTAGATTGGCTTTGTGAGTCCTTTCTTTCTACACTATAAAAATTTAACTATTCTTTGAAAGTGCAATAATTGGTAATAATGAGCTACACGAATATATTTATACTGCATAACCAAAGAAAAAGTTTATATACAAAAGACAAATGAGTGAAAACAAAAAATCAAATGTTTGTGTTTCTAGGTCCCATCCGCAGAACTGCTGTCGCATGTGTTAAATTGACAAAGGGAAAAGAAAGATTTGGCATATAAAAACACCTCAGCTCAGAAAGATTTGGCTATTCTTTTCCTAGCAATGAATCAAGAAGAGCTGCTTCTTCCTCCTGCGAACATGACCAAAAAGACGAAGCTTAAGCAATCATTTATCTCATATGAATGATATGAGAACAGTGCAGTAAATTTTAACATTAAGATATCTACGGTATGTGACATACCACCAAGGCATTAAACTCAGTCTCCTCATCTATGGCACTAATGATTGCAGGATCCTCCAGCAGGTCCTGTTTCCAATATTAGAACCCCATTTTATACACAGTAGCTATCATCCATTGCTTTTTTCTTAAATAAATAACTGACGCCTCATTGCATTTTGCTGATTAAAAGCAAGCTTACACAATGGTTTCATACACAAAATTAATACAAAATTTAAGGCCCAATCATTATATATGTCCAATGAGCAAAGTTTGGCTCCTTAAAACTGAGGATCTCCTCCTCAAAGCAAATGGGATTTTGACACGTGTCAAATTCCAAAACAAAGAAAGTGAAAAGAATTTCAAAAAAATAAAAAATTAAATGAAATTGACTAGTGTTCCCATTTGTTTCGAGGAGGAGCTCCTCATCAGTTTTAAGGAGCCAAGCTTTTTCCATGTCGAATTCAGTCTTTGACACACAAGAGTGAGAGAAGGATGGTCTTTGAAACTCAATTTTGTTCTACTACTGGGCATCCTACAAATCTTTTCGGTGGGTAGCCTAGTGACAATGAAATCCTATTTCACAATATGTGAGAGGCACTGTGAAACTAGTAAACAATATCTAGGTACCATAATTCCCAGAAACGCTTATTGTACACAAATTGGATGCTGAAAGTCACAGAGGTTCTTGATCTTGTGATTTTATTATCTGCTAGCTATATACATTTACTGCACGTACCTATCTGAGAATTGTATAGGTCATACACCTCTTGGTTAAATCATTGATGTGACAAAACTCTAAGTTGATGTACTTTGATGTACTGTATTAATATGCTGATAAATGCTTCCAGATAATCTCAATTTATCGTTCGAGTACAGGCTGAAAAACTATTATAGGGCATTAAAAGAATATGGTGCAACTTGAAGATTCCACTACACCAATACTCTTGAGAAAACGGGGGAGGAAAACAAGATGTTTTCAGAAGTAATACTTATGCAGATAAAATCAAGGCACTAACCACAATGCAAATGGTGAGGGTTAAACTCTTAACAATCTTCAGTCAGTATATATAGTACGATAAATTGAAGATGAAAAAAATCTACAATGAAATGAGTGAGATTGCTTACATCGTCAGCAATTTGCAACAGACCATCATTATTCTGCACAAACAAAATCCAATCGCATTTATGTTCAGTTTCCAATCATAGAATCAGCTACGGTTCTTAGAAAAATTAAATAACATTTCTCAACAATACTAGAGCCATGAGTAGTATTTTGAGAGACATTTTAAGCGAACTTCATAAATATGAGCAAAGGAATAGAGATGCATTTAATAAAATGGAGGTGCAGCAAACCATATGAAATCTTGAAGGTTACCTTTACAACAACAAAGAGAAGCGGATCAGACGGTGTATAAATCATGTAATGTGCTCCATCCTGCACCGAGAGAACTATAGATTAATAAGGCAGTGCAATGAAAAAACCATCTAGGTCATTTGTATAGATCATAATCATATAGTTGTGTTCGTCGTACAAACGCACATACAAATTTTTTACACTTGGCATTAGAAATTTACAATGGAACTATTCATATTTAAGTTATAAACATTAAAAGATAACAAACAAAAATATGCAAGCAGTAAATATGGTGCTATTAAAACAATCCATGCAATCTACTAAATTAAAACATAAACATAGAACACAGAACACAATAATTGTTCATATTTTCAACATATAATGCTCCTTTTTTTCTTTTAATGACGATGAACATAAAACAAAACATATCTTAGAAAACTCTATTTTTTTTCTTTTTCTTTTGGAACACAGGGAGATTTCCCTTTAGAATACAGTGCAACAGGTTGTTCGAAGGAAAATAAATGTTCAAAAGTATGAAAGCTTTAACAAGTTAGAATAAGAGAACAAAAAGGTGACATTAAGAAACCACAAGGTGAGAAAAACTCATTGTGCCAAAGGCCCATGAATGCAACTGCAGCCTGATATATCTCAAGGAGCTAAAAGGAGATATGAAGCCAAAAATTCGAGTATGTCAGCAATGAATTGAAGGTTCATTCACAAAAAAATATGAAATGTCTAATATTAAGGGAATTGAAAATTATATAGAAACCATTCAATTCTAAGGCTGAAACATACTTAACATTATCCTAGTTATCATTTAATCTAAGAAGTTAAATGCTTCAATGTAAGCAAATACATCCTGTATTATTTCCGGGCAGAAAGGTATTCGTGTAATTCTCAGCTGACAGGCATTAATCAAAAGAAGAAAGTAGGTTATGTGTTCCACTCTCTATAGATGCAGCAGCTAGTTGGTGTAGTGGGCTAGTTTGTGACTGTAATTAGTGGTCAATTTTATGGTCTTAAATAGTCCACTCTGTAGTTTGACTTTAAGCTATCAGAGCCACCAAGATTATTATCCCATGAAACCTAATGAATGAATGAATGAATAGAGAGATTCAAATATCAGCAGTTAACTACATGTCTGATATATCTTTTCTTGGGTGTGATGCACTGTGTCAGGGGCCAGAGGTCTGCACAGCAGAAGATTGAACTGCGTAGCATTACATTGGCCTGTGTACCAGGTTGCCTCGCTCATGCATATTTAATGATTCGCCCCACGTTTAGAGTTTATCATTCGGCATAGTGGTAGCACATGCTAAACTCAACTTGTAAAGCATAATATTGGCTACCCTATCTAACGGAAACACCAGGCCACCCATCTGGTAACCCAATGCCCACCCCTCATGGTCCCAACATTGGCTAGAGGAAGCTCATTTAATGCCCACACTTGCGTCGCTGAGGGTGGTGAATAGCTTGACCACTACTCTTTAATGCGCATTCTGAGCCTTCCCCCTTCTGGTAGGAGGGAACATCAAATGTGTGAGCAATCATAATGGACATACTCACAGAAATTCCACTCAACAACATTTTTCCAGAACTTATGCCATGTGTGCGCACTGCTCCACTTGCTATGCATGACACTAGGCACTATAAGTTCTTGTATCACACTCCCAACATTATTTTCTTTTGTAAGACTAAAAACTTAACTCTACTCCAACAGATTACGGGGCAGTGGTAGGACCCAACAGATTATTAATCTAATGGTGAATGAAAAATTCACAAGTTTAATGCATAGTTAATATACTAGTAAAATGAAAATATAAAATGATCTTCAAAGAATACATATGATTTTTTATCAATAGAATTGTATTCTAGTTAACAAGATAACAATTCTACAAGGAAAAAAATTCTTCATCAGGAAAAACACAAGCCAGTACTTTCTTGAGAGAAAACACAAGCCAGTTTACTGCAACCTTGTAGTACTAAAAGTTATAACCTACCAATTTAACGTCACATTCTTAAGAAAATTATACTGTATATAGATGGTTATCACATTACCAAATGGAAACACGTAATTTCTACCCCCTCAGTGGGCAAGCCATCTACATCTTGACCATCATCTGCAAAATAGTTAACACCACACATTAAATTATAATAAAACATTAAAAGACCTCAGTTCTGAAGTTAATAAATGGGATCTACAAGGATGAATGGGCAGAGGTGCAGCGGCCAACTAAAGCTCATCAAAATCCATTACACCAATAAGCAAAGAGTATCATGTGAAAGAGAACCCCCCTAATATTTATCAATGAGATAAAGACAACACAATAGTTTTGAGCCATGAAACACATCTAATAATGTTCTATTTAACTATGTGAAAGAGAACAAACCTATTATTAATCAATGAGAACCAGATGGAATGGAAGTGTTTACGGAAGTTCCTAAAAGTTCGTCTACATACTCAAAAATCATATCCACCTTGCAATTCAACGAATCAGGGACCACATATTTCCATGCCCTTATGGTATAAGCTCCAATGGGTCAACAAAATATTATACAAAGAGTTTTTCCCCTTCTCATTTAATTGAAAGAGAAAAAAAACAGCTAGAATCACCATAGAACATCTTTTATGACATCAATTACTGACAGCTAGATTCAACACAAACCCAAAACTTCATTCATAGTGGCAAAGAAGAAAATGAAATAGAAACCACCTAAAGAGTTTAACAATCATAAAGCAGATCTTTTGCTTTTTGTTTTAAAAGAAAAATAAATGACGAGCAATTGCCTGTCCGGAAATCAAATATGTCATCCTCTGAGTAACAAAAGCCTCCCCGTGCTGTATAACAGAATCTGATATGAAGACACAAATTTGAACAAATTAATATCAAGATATCTAGGAGAACCAAGATACCGAGGTTTAAAAAAAATTCTAAAGCTGGAATATCTTTATCATCATACCCACTATGTACGAGATGCATGTGTATCTTGGCAAGGGCATAAGCAGCAGCGGGAAGAATAACTTCAGCTTCTTCATCACTGACCTAAGAAACAAAACAACGTAGATTAAATTGATAAGGAAAATAAAGAATCAAGAAATAAACATTTCCACTTCATAATTATCACTGACATGTAGAGTGATAGACATTGATTTATGTCAAAGAACCCACCCTGTCTTGCATCAACCTCTTTCTTTCCCACCATAGCTTGATAGCTTTTTTTTTTACTACTTTTGATAGAGACAATTCTATTGCAATATATATATATATATATATATATATATATATTACAATGAAAAGAAAATGCAGACAAGAAGAAGCCTTTAGAAAAGCCAAATGAAAAAGAAAACAAAGACTCGGTTGGAAGAAAAAGACTCCCAAAAGCAGAACTACCAAATAGAAGCTAGGCAATCTAGCCAGATATTTTAGAAAGATGAACCCCTAAACATGCATCAGCATGCATAATATCTTCTGCACATCACAGGTATGCTATTTAGTTTCCAAGAAGCACCAACCCGCAATTTCATGGTTACACCAGCCTTCCAAATCATCTTGCGTTCCATTTGGACGGGGTGGTTTACAAGGAAAGATTTGGATTTCGAAATAAACTAGATAAAAATTACAAACACATGCCTTCAGCTCATGCACGTTGGTGGTGACATTTGTAATTTTTCAGTGATGTGAAGAATGAGAAAAGTAGAGCTTGAAGCTATATAACAATAGATTAATAGATTGATAGTACACTTTCCACTTTTTCTCCATTTCCCTGGTTTCTTTATCCTTTCAACATATGATCCACAACCCTTAACACTTCTCTTGCATGCTTTTAAAACCCCAAGGTCGCAAGAAAATTATAAGAACCTTACAGCCATTAATTAAACATTGTACTCAAACTTTAAGGCTATCTTCATTGCAGCAGGACAATCAATTAACGTATTTCCAAAATCCCTGCAACTTGTCATCTTTAAACCACTCACAACCGCAAGTAAAAATGACCACCTTCCTTTTACTAGACTGATACAACCTATATTCTACCTAGCTTAAACACTCCAAGGACATCAGAGTGTAATTAGATCTTTAACAAGAACAAGAATACAATTTCTCTCAACATCTTTACAATACAGACTCTCTTAGCTAATATAGTGCTAACTTTCCTAACCCAACAATCAACTGACTAACAGTAGCCTAACTGATGTTTAAGAAACTAGCTGCATTAATGCATCAGCAAACTGTTAGCTCATCAAGTTGACACTGTCAGCTCATCAAGTTGACTTTGTCAACACAGACATGCATATAGGTTCCTATCAATACCCACCCCTCAAAAACAATCCTTCTCCTCAAGGATGGAATTCTAGAAATCTGAGCAGCAAGTCATAATAGTCTTCCCAAAGTTTCTTCCTTTTTATTTGAGTGAGGATTGCCATTGCACTAAACTTCCATAGCAAAAGAGCAACTGGTTGGGCTTGAACAATTCCATCATCATAGCTTCTTTGAGGTGGTTAAAAGCTATAATGGTGTCAGGAGCAAAATAAAAACCCGTTGTTCTTGTACTGAAAGCTGAAATGTTGGAATCAAGAATGTACATGCCAAACAGATATCCTCAACCAAACAATACTGATGAAAAAATGGAATCAGTATTGTGTACAGTGGATCCCAAACAATACTGCTGCTTATCCACAGTAAATTTTATCTGCAAAATCTAGAAATCCCACAGAATAGGACTTAAATGTGCACCTGATTCCTCATCACACCCTCCCAGGAGAATAGCAATTAAATCCATCAGACATTCATAATCTATCACATATAATTGGGGCCAATTCAGCTACATCCAATTCTACTTGCTTTATAATAACTACCTCCAATCCACTTCACCAAGATTTTCCTGTTCAATCCCTGTATAATACAACACAAATGCGGATTCCTCATCCAGATTAGGCATTTATATTCTGCAACCCTGTAAAAACAGTGATGAACTTCCAATTTAACGACATTCTCCTCATCACTTGCAAATCCAGAATCAATTTCCCCAATTCAATTATTTGTTTCTCATTACAATATCCACCAACTATGCCACCTTTACCTTATTGACCTTGAAGGACCCAATATCAGAACAAACAAAAAGACCACCCTTGTTTCCCACGATCTGATTCTTTTCACCTGGTGATTGAGCCTCAAAAGGGAACAAATTGTTACGTGAGGACTCAGTTACTGAACTAATTTGACCCCAAATGCTTCCACCTATTGAGATCAGCAGAAAACAATAGCCCCGTCTACTACTTCTTGGCCACATTCAGTAACAAGGACTAAATGAAGGTGATAAATAATATTCCCAACAAATGAATAAAATAAAATAATATGGGAAATCAATGAGACATTGAACCTATATAGGAGACATAATTACTGTTATATCTGCATCTAGAAAACTTTGCAGTTTCAAAATTTTCATATGAAGTCTACACAAATTTAAGAATCAACTAAAAACTAGATATGGACCACGAGAACATACAGCTGACCAGCCATCTATGTTTGTGCTCTTTAATATTTGAACAGGCCTGCATTGATATATTAATATACACTTAGCAATCTTTCTGGACAAATTGCTCAATCACAACCCAAAAAAAAAAAAAAAAAAAAAAAAGAGCTTTACTTACGTGTCAACTGGGCAAAGCAGCATACATTCATCTCCCCGCGAGCTTCTGAACACTCTCCTTATAACGCACTCTAAAGGGAAATTATTGGTAGGATCAACCTGCCCATTGACTACTTCAGAATATTTTAATTTTAAGGAAAGCAATGGCAAAAACAAACAAACAAACAAACAAAAAGAGTGTAATCTGTATCTTATCACAATTTAGGATGACTAAAATAGATCAGCATCCAGTAATCCCAAATTGAGGCAGCTCATAAATGATCCATGGTAAAAATAAAAATAAAAATTATAAACCATAACTGAACTGAGCAAGTGTTATCTCTGGATTTAATCTAACAAATTGTACTGAACAATTATTGAGTTGAGCCATAAGCGTCTAACTGCAAAAATTCAACTCTCAAGTGAATTGTGACCGGTTATATTAGGGAGATAACCAATCAAATGGAATGTCAAAAACCTCTAAGCAGCCAGCTTTATAGGCTGAGGTGGGCTGGGTTATTGTAGAAGTACGGTTGTGAGCTGGGGAGGAGAGAGCTTGGGGTGGGCTGAGAGTGTGTTGGTGGCTTAGAATTGATAAATTCTCTCTAAGTTGGGTTGGGCTACAACACGAGGGAGCCCCACTGTGGCTCCATCCCTGAGCAGCACCTCCAGCTGCTTCTCATTTCACACAAGGGTAATTTACGCAATAGTTAAAAATTCATTACTCAGATTGAACTTCCAAGCCTTCAAACATGTTCTGCCTTATTTAAAGATGATAAAAGGGAGCTATGACCATCAATCTACAGACTATAACAAAAAGAGTCCTTGAATTTAACAACAGAAAATTCCACACACAACAAGAACAACGAGAGAGGCAAAAAAGTTATGCAAGAAAGAACTCACAATGGAAGCAATTCGCTTGGAAGAAGCCATGAGCACCTTCCCATGATCATCCACCACAAACCCAGCTGGTGGTTTTGGCAGCGGCGTAGGATGGAAACCAAGCGACCTCGAACTCGAACCGGATCCGGAAGACCCAACTCCACCAGCACCCAAATTATCCACAATTTCAACATCACTCAAGCTCAGATCCTCTGAATCACCACCACCACCACCCTTACGCTTTTTCTTCTTGTTGTTGTTAGTGCCCGAGGGTGAGCGCTTCTTTACAGGCCCAGTCTGCGACTTAGCAGCGGCGCACACAGAGATATGGAGTCTGGTGGGAGTTGAGGAAGGAGTTGGGAAGGAGACTGAGAGTGGGAAGAGCTGGTTGAAGTGGAAAGTGAACAAGGGAAAGTAGTGGGCTTGCTTCAGATGGAGAGTGGAAGTGGTTGATGGAGTTGTGGAGACTGAGAATGCCATGTTGGGATGTATGCTTGCCTGGGAAATGGGAAGAGCGAAGTTTCTGAGGGCGCGTCCTTGAGTGTGGGTGCGCTTTGGCGGCAGAGTACGGTAATATTAGATAACTTCGAGAACCATTAGATATTTGGATAACTTAACTCTAATTTTTTGTTTTACCAAACTATAAGAAAATATGTAACAAGAGATGAATTGTATTCAATCTTTTTGTTATTTTTTCTTATACAAGCCATAATTTACTTTAAAAGGAATTTGAACTTGAGTGCATCAAGGCTAGTTCATTGTCTTGACTAACTCGCCTAATCCACATACGCTAATATTTTTGCATGAGGTATAGTTGGATGATCTTTAGACTCATCCTCATTTGAAAAAAAAAAAAAGTTTCAAGAGTAATTGTGTTCTAACCGGCCTTTTACTTAGTAACTCACTCTCTAGCCTAACTAGTAGTGCGTGTCCACTTCAAATGGTAAGAATAATATTATGTGGCTAGTGAGCTCATAAGGGTGTCTTTAACCTAATTTCTTAAAGGGATTAACGACTCATTGTGCACAGTAGCTGGTTAGTTTTAATTTTGACAATTTGCACCCCAATGTATTAAAATTTGACCAATTTATACCATCCGTTAATTTGATCATTTGTTTTTAGCATAAGCAATTATGGGAGGGACTTTACACAAATATTCATTGGATGTTTTGGGGTTTCGAACCTATACCCACATAGGTAGAGGTAAAAGAGCTCAACCAACTGGGTCATACCTCACTGACTTCATTAATTTGATCATATGGTCTTCTGTTAAATTAATGATGTGGGGCAGAAGAGGTCCCCACTTCTATGTTGATGTGGAAACAATAAAAAAATATATAAAATATACAACATAAAACATTGCCCAATACGAGAATAATATTTTTAAAACAAAAAAGATTAAAGAAATTGCCCAATCCCGCTAACCCAGGGCTCCCTCTGTGAACCCAACCCCACTTTTGCTTGCAGCATCGCCCAACGGAGCCAAAACTCCTCTCCACCCCTGCCTCACAATATGCACTCTCTCTCTCTCTCTCTCTCTCTCTCTCTCTCTCTCACACACACACACACACACACACACACAAATTTAACCAAACTAACCTGCAGCCAGGGACGGATTTACACTCACTCCAGCCCAGTCATGATTTAGTAAATAAGCTTAAAAGTGCAGGCTAACTTAGGAATTTTAGAAACCAGTCTACCCCTCTATACATAAGTCAGCCTATTGTAGGGGATTTTTCGTTTTGGCAGCTATTGATGAGCTGGGCTGCTGTAAAGAGCCAAATGTGTGAAATTGCCCCTTAAGTCTGAGTTCAAGGATTAAACTCCAAGAATGTTTCGAAAAGGTAGCTGAGCCTTAGGAAACACCTTGGTCTTCTTCACCAATGAAACCAATAGTCGCTTACAAATAAATTATTGGCTTGGCATGAGAAGCTGGTGGCATAGGAGCTGAGCATTCATGAGTTTAGCATGAGAGAGAGAGAAAGAGCTACGATTTCCTATGAGAAACAGAGTTTTTAAGGCAAGGGGAAAGGGATTCTAAAGGGGTTCGTTGAAGAGAGAGAGAGATGGGGGAATAACAATGGGTGTGTTGAGTAGTTTCCGGTAGCTTGATGAAAGCTCTGTCAAGCTCTGGAACAATTTACCAGAGGAGAACATGGGAGAAGATAGAGGAATGGGGCTCGAAATTGCAGAGGTTTAAGGGATGAGAGATGAAGCTTGCTCTCTATATGTGTTTATCGGAAAGAGAGGAAGAAGATAGAAGCATGGTTGGCTCTAGCAGATTTCCAGTAGCTTGAGGAAAGCTTCGTCAAGCTCTTATGTGGCTTGACAGAAGAGAAAAAGGGAAGCAATGGAAGAACATGGCTTGAAATCAAAGGGTTCCAGAGGCGAGAGGTGATGCTTGTTCTCTCTGGATGTGTTTATAGGAGAGAGAGAAAGAAGATGGAAGAACAAAGCATGAAATTGAAGGGTTCCCGAGGGGATACTTGCCTTCGATAAGTTGTTTTGCTGGGTAAAAGGTGTCTCCTTTTATAGGCGGTGGAAACTCCTTCTTCCCAAGACCCTAATGGATTCCCTCCAATTTTAGCCAAGTCTCTCCCTCTATTTCTCTTCTCTTCCTTTGATTCATCCATATTTTGTGAAATCCTTATCAGTCCAAACACACAGAGACAAGATTTTTAGAGTCTCTAGAGCCTTCCCGCAGCTATCCCTGTGGCCATCTCCTATTTTGGGCTACCCTTTCTCCTTCTTTTCTCCTTCATTTAATGGCAAGAGCTGATAGGAGAAATGAGTGGGTAATGGCGCTGGTCTGAAGGGTGTATTGCTCAAGTATCCTTTGGTTTTTGGATGGCTTGTGTTGGGATTTGTCTTTGGCCATGTGCTGGATATTCTCAGTAACCTGCAGACGTGAGTGGCTTTTAGCTTTTGTCGTGGTTTTGTCTCCAACCATGTGTTGGAGACTTTCAGATATTTTCTTGGTCATTTGGGCCTTCCTAGGGTGATGGGTTAGTTTATTAAGGGAATGGGCTAGCTTCCTAAAGTGATGGACTATTGGGTTTTCTCTTATGCTTACCCATATGTTTGGGCTCAAGGAATGGGCTTGAGTTTTGGTGCTCCCAAGTAGCCCAAAACTTCCACTATTTGGACCATCAATGGGCCTCGTGAATACTTGTAACCATCCATATCACAACTCGTTTAGCAAGCCCCAAGCATTCGTGTGGCTTAGGCCCACTTAAGCTTGTAGCGTGGCGTGTTGCTTATTTGCTTAGCGTGGCACGTGTGTAAGCGCATATGACGAACTCTTGCATACCCAAGTTGGGTTTCTTCCCAAGTTAGGTGTCGTACTGGGCTAGAAAAATATTTGATCCTAACCTTGAATTTTTTGGGCCTCAACACCTATCACTCTATATAAAAAGAAGGCTACCCACTTAGCCATCTTTAACCCCACACACAAGGAGTGGATAAGGAATCCACTCAACCCAAAAAAACTGCCGAAAATAATAGAACAAAAGCCTCCAACCATCTGACCAAAAAAAAAAAAGGCCTCCAACTTGGAAGCAAGACAAGTCAAGCAAAAAAAATGCCTAAAAACCTAAAAGATGAGAGAATCAAAGAAGAAGTGACTCTCTTCCTCTCCAAAATTGTATCAACATATCTTTAGTGGGTTCTTCAATCTTAGTAAGTTTCTCTTTTTATTTTTATTTAATTTTCAATTTTAATTGTTATTGTTAAGTTTTTATGATTTAGGGTTTGTTTGTTAAATTTTGAGTAGCGCTACGTGCATGATAAGAAATTGTTTTTGAAAAATTATAAGTTGTGCTACACGAGTGATGGGAGAAAAGTCTCATGCATGTGCGTGATGGGAAAAAAAAGTCTCCAGCACTCATGGCAGGGATGCAAGTTGCTTTAAAAAAAAAAAATTTGTCCACCCCTAATAAAATTCCTGGATCTGTCCTTGCCTATAGCCCTCCCTCCCTGACCAACCCCCACAGACACCTCTCCCAACCTCCCCGCGCGTATCCAGGCGTTCCCCAACCCGCTATCTCCATTTAGCTCTTCCTTTCTCTATCATGAGCTTATAGCACATGTTCACCCGTTTTGCATGACCAAATTGCTTTGATTTTTTGCAGCCTTATTCTGGGCCTCATTTTCGCTGGGCTGGGTGTGTCAATTTTTAGGCCCAAACAGCACCAAATAGGAATAAATAATCAATAAATGAAACTCTAGAATCAATTTGCACCCCAATATAATAAAAATACAGCTTATGCTTTCATGAATTGGTAAGGAAAGCCACGCATCTTTTAATACATTGAACAAATAAAATAAATAAATAATATTAGCTTATTGAATAAAAAAAATTCATTTATTTATAAAATAAATAAATTAGTTCATAATTAAAATTTCCATACATAAATAAATAAAAATTAAGTTTATTGTAATCTTCAAACCAAACAAAATAAAAAATATAAATAGCAACTTTATGCAATTGGTCGTTTCCATTTGCTTTTGCATTAGTCTTTGAGCTTGAGCTCCCTTCAAGAGCAAAGTGACTGGGCATAGAGGACGGTGAGGATGATGCTTGGCCATGAACACCTACATAATCGCCCTCCAAGTCTTTCCATCTCATTTCCTCCAATTTCTCAGCAAAGTCATCTAACAAATGGGCTTCTATATCAATATATCATTTCTTGAGAGGCCTATCTTTGTAGCTCTCACTAAAACGTGATTGGAGACAAATATTGGAATGGATATAAACCAATTGATCAGCTCTTGCAAAATTCAACATGATCCTCTTAGCATTATGGATGTAAGAAGATGTGCTCCAAACCAAATTCTTTCGATCGATGAACTTGATATCGGTTGAGCCAACACCTTTGTCATTTGTAATAATAATAATTTATTTAAGATAAAAAATATTGAAATTAATTTTATACCTTTTAGCCACCTATGCTAATTCTTGTGTATTTGCACCATATGTTGACTACCATTCAATGGGGCTGTTTCCCTCTTTTTGGCTGGGTAGGCCAATTAAAGGAGTTTTTTTGGTCATTCTTTAATTAAGTGCAAGGCGTGCCAACACCAAGCCACGAATTAGGCTTGAATGGAATGTGAGTAGATGATGCGTCTGAAATCTGACTTTAATCAAACAATTGTTCGGCCGAGTAAGGAACCTCCTCAAGGCCTAGGTTCTTTCACTACCTCGGAGTCAAGGCTTTATGTGAGCAACCAAATAATGTGGAGTGGGTGGAGATGAAGATTGAAGGTGAAATGTAATGAAACAAAGAACACGTGCGTAAAGTAAAAGGTGCTTCAAAGTAAAGTGCGTAAAATAAATAATTTAAAGATGAATGTGTAATTTAAAGTGCGTAAAATAAAGAATGTAGAGACGAGTGCGTAATGTAAATTAAATAATTGAAATGCGAGTGCGTAAAGTAAAGGGTGGAAAGTAAACTAGATTACGAAGAACAGTAAAGATAACATGGACTGAAGTTATTGTATTTCAAATAGAATTGAAAAACAAGAACAAGAATGAAAAGGCATAATTGAAATCTACGGAAACTA